TCAAAGTCTGTATTTAATCCAATAAGTTATGGCCTTAACGGCCCCAATAAGACATGGTTCGGCAGTCTACTACCATCGTCAGTTATCTATTGCACGCAGGCAATCATTAATATAAGGGAGTAAAAATTCAATGTTATGCATGCTAAAAAATGTGGAATGAACCGTAACAGTACTGCAAAGCAAAATATAAATAAAGTGAGGTAAAATCAGAGTGCAGTATTTATGCCACAAAGGGGAGAATGGAATGAATTTAGAATGACAAAGATAAATTAACATGAAGAAGCTGTTTGTTCAGTGAGGGCTGCTCCCACTGAATATGCAAGGCTTCTTTGATTTTTAAAATGTTGGGTTGTAGAGGCGGAGTCCAGTATCGTGAAACAGTCCTCATTGGCTGATTGTTTACAATGACGTGAACTCTTCAAATGCTTTAATATATGCGAGTTTTTATCCATAGTTGCTCACGCATGCGTGTAGAGAAATGTCGGCTTGTTTCGCCAACGTAACAAGCATTATTACTGCCTGCACATACAAATTTGTAAACTACACGCGAACGGATACCAACTGGGATGGGATCTTTAGCTGAAAACAAATGTTTAACTTTAAATAAGGAAAATACAATTTTTAAATTTAAGTCATAACAGAATTCATCCGATAAGGCACGTATTTTCTTGGTAAGGACTTTGGAAAATGTGCCGACATATCAATAACTTTCAATAATAGTTGGAGGGGCTTTCATTATGATACCAAGGCATTAACTACCATCCTTAAGAGAAATTGTTTTCCTTCATACCTCATTGATCAAATTATTTTTCGTTATGTTAATTCAGTTCAATGTAAATGCAAAAGTACACTGGATAATACTAAAGAAAATACACCAATCACCTTTTATTTCAAATCACCTTATGTCGCTCGAGGGCAGCAGTTTATTAAATTTTCTGAATCGTTTTTTTTTTTGTTTTTTTTTTTTTTGTTTTTGTTTTGCTTTTTTTTTTTACATATCATGACGAATTATTTCGTTATTTTAAAGTGTTATATATTTATTTTTTTTTTCTTTCTCGTTTTTTACTTTTATAACATAAATTGTTTAGCCTCATTTTGTCTGTATTTTAAAGTTTTAATTATTTAAATGTTTACTGCTTTTATATTGTGATTCCCCCATTCTTTTTACTATTGAATTTGTATGTAACTATTAATATTAATATTATTATTATTATTATTATTATTATTATTATTATTATTATTAATGTTGTTCTTCTTTCGCGTTTTTTTTTTACTACGCCCTCGGCTTACACTTTCTAGGCCTAAGCCTAGTTGTATTTTATTTAGCCATTTTGCCAATTACCATACAGTATGTCATCTGGAAGTTTTGCCGTTTTGGTTTATTGCCTTTTTGACTTATTGCCGTTTTTGTCTTGCCGTTTTGACTTATTGCCGTTTTAGTCCATTGCCGTTCTGGTCTAAAAGTGTTGCCGTTTTGTTTTTTTGCCGTTTTGGTTTTTTGCCTTTTTGGCCTGTTCCCCCGCTGGCCTAAATAGGCCCCTGGCCAAGGCCCATAGCATCAATTCAGAATCGGATTGCTAATACGCCAACATTCAAATCTATAATTAATTTTATAATGAATTTTATACAACAAAAATCCATCGCTTATCGATTATACAACAGGTCTTATCGTACTTACTCTATTACTACAGGTCTTATCCTACTTAATAATAATAATAATAATAATAAGGTAAGAACTTATATAG